GTGCTTATATGAGCTGGTACATGTTTAAAGGCAAACACACATATGCAGGTACACAACAAAGGGGTCTAAAGGTCCCCATTTCTTGCGTCCGTACTGGTGGAAGGCCAAAACTGGAGGTCATGGCTGGTACAAATTTCCACTTCATTGTCACTCCTCAATGCTCCCCAAAGAAACTCTGCCCTATCACCTCCTGCTGCTTAGCCGTGCTACTTGTTATCCTGCCTCTTTCTGTCACTTAGCAAAAACAGCGTGTCGATGATCAGCATTTGCTGCCTAAGTGTTTACAAACAAGTAGCAGACGCAGATTATTATGGGAGGGGTGTGATCTTTGCCAGTACTGTATAAGAGCATGATTGGGCAAAGCTAAGCTCCTTTACAAGTGGCCAGAGAACTGATCAGTCAATAGATGTCCAACCCATACTTGCCATACTTGTCATGCTTACAAACTACCTTTCTGGGATTGAACACATTTTCAGTGTTCACCATCTCTTGAGATGATCAAATCAAATCACTCATGTCTTTTGATTTGACTTAACCCTTTCGCTGCCAAGGACGTATGGCATACGGACCTACAAAAGTGCTTCCAGCTGGCCAGGTCAGTATGCCATACGGACCTGGCATTTACAAAGTGAACAGATCCCAATGGATTTACAAATGTGGGAGCAGATTTAAACTGTGCACTTATCTATGTATCTGTCCATAAAGCTAGCCTAACCTTTTCTGTGTAAATCAGTTTGTTCGATTAGTCAAGCATTTGACATGAAACACTACTTTATTATTGTGCATATATTCCTAACTCCTTTTTAAAATGTGCAGTGAAGCAGAGCCACTTTTTCAATAACACACTTTCCTGGCAGAATGAAATTGGCAATCTGTTGTCAGACACTTCCAGCAGTATTTAAATGAGCTGTCTGCTCTTCTATTGACAAATCTTTATTTTGTCTTTGCTGATTGCACAAAACTAAAGACAAGTGAAGGCAAAGAATAACCCAGACTGTGCTGCTCCTCAGTACCCTTGCACAGGCACGGTACTCTAGCACAACCATATAAAGCAATATAAATAGCCTTTTATGTCAGAGTTTTTCTCGTGAAATTGGGGAACTTTAATTGACTCCCAAAAAAGTAAACATTGCTGCATCTTCTACTCAGCAGGTCTGTCGCAGGCTGCAATATATAGTTGACAGGAATTCTAAGAACTGTGAGAAAATCCTGGAAATGTGTGATACTAAGAATTTAAGACCTAAATCTGTCTCTTTTTTTTCACAGCCGTAAGATCATTTGCTGAAAGTGTGTGTGTATGTATGTATGTATGTATGTATGTGTGTGTATATATGTATGTATGTATGTATGTGTATATATGTTTGTATGTATGTATGTATATATATATATATGTGTGTGTGCATCTATATATCTATCTATAGGGATCGGGAAATGTTGACCTTAGGGGTAAACTCAACAAACCATCCCTTTCATGGATGTAAGGACTGTTTCCTGTGGGAAGGAAAGAAAGTGTGGTTCACTTAAAATAGCAGATTAACCATGGGTGTGTGTGTGACCAAAAGGTGAGCATGGCCTTTAAAGGGCATTGTTTATTGCACACCTTTTGCATAGTTAGGGGGCTAAAAAGGGGACTGTAAACATGTGGTACTTTGAGCTAAGTAAGCTAAAACTGCTTAATGAAAATGACATTGACTTTCCCCATTTAAAACCTCATGCCATCATCACAAATGATCTTCATCATTCCACTTCTTTTAATCCATGAACACAACACACCTCCCAAAGTTGGCTGTGCAACAATGGGGCACAGCTGGGTTCCAACCTTTCCTTACTCTATACAAAATTTATGTTGGCTCTACATACACTTTAAGTACTTATTATATTATTATTAACAACAACATATATATCATATAATTGTAAATCATACCAGTTGAAACCTGTAACTAAAACTATATACTAACATACTGAGGAAACATAGTTTGGGATAAATCTGTACTATTGACTAATTCATCAATGAACATATAGGTATGTTTGCCCATAATGGCTCAACACCTGCAAAAATGCGCCACAGCATAGTGAACCAAAAAAAAACTACCTCAGTAATATGACCTTGAGAAATTGTGTCATTGACTTGAGACTGATCTATCACATGCTGTACATCCTGGTGTTCAGTATTTTATGCAGCTTTATTCTTTGTTGATGTCTCGTGTTTTTGTGCACTGATTGCAAAAGAGGGGACAGCAAGACTAGATTGTGGAAGAGGGGTAGAGAGGGAGGAACCCAGACCATGTTGTGAAGGGATAAGTCAGAAGGCATTGGGTGCAAAAGCTGGAATTTAAAGTGGATGCCAAGCCAAAACTTTAGAAAGTTAGTCATCATTTTATTATAGTCTGTGTCTGTTTCAGATAAATGTCCCTTCATTTCCTGTACCTTATTCTCCAGTTTCTGGCAAATCCACCCCAATGGGGACACAGACCGAAATAAACAAAACTAACGAAGGACCTAACCCTATCCCACTCTGCTAGAAAACTGTAAACTCCTGTCCATATCTCATTGAAGGGATTTCTCTTCACTTCCGGTCCTTAGTAGAACCAGTTGCCACTAAAATAATTAAGGGGAATTCTCCCAATTGGTGACAAAGACAAGGAGTAAACACTTGACAGAGGCTCTAACCTTTCCACACTCTATCCAAAGCTGAAAAAACATTTGGCTTGATCACTTCTATCAAAATCTCCGGTTAGTAGAAGCCTTGCTTACAATAAGGATCTTCTCTTTGGTCAAACTTGTGATCAAAGTGGCACCCAGCAAAGGGAAGTCTAAAATCTCCAACTTTCTTTGTGGCTTGAAATGCCACGTGAACTAATACAGGGAGCTGCAGAGGAAGTTGGGGATGGAAGTCATCCCTCTGGTGGGTGTCATTCTTTACATTTGTTACATGTACAAGAGTACATGTAACAAATGTAAAGATGGTAATATCCCAATTTGGCTGTAAATGTCATTCTACTTTAAGACTGATTTATTTAGAATACTTCAAAGCTGAAAAAATGTAACGTCATCAATCACATATAGTGAAGACAACTGGTTATTTTGTAACCAGCCAAGAAACTGTCACTATTATAGTAGGAGATGGATCCATGACACTGGTACGAGAATAGTCAGAGGGAACAAGCAGACCAGTATGCCAAGTCCTGTGTAGACCCATTGAAGATGATATTATAGCTTCATTGTAACATATTCTGCAGCATTCCAAGTCTGAGTATATCAGAGAACCATGCTTAGTATATCTAAGAGACTCTTGCCAGTAGATTTAAAGTGACATTAACCCCTTCATGACTGAGGCCTTTTTTCATTTTTTGCACCCATGTTATATTCCACATTTTAGGCCTGAAAATTACTTAAAACCCCAACACATTATATATTTTCTGAATGCCAAGACCCTATACAATATAATGGTGGTAGTTGCAAATTTTATGTTTTGCGCAATATTAGCGCAACTCCTTATTAAACCCCAAAATTTAGTGATAAATGTAATTAAATGCCCCAAAACACAACAAAATACCAATTTTTAAATGAAATATAAAAGATGAGGTTACAACGGGTAAAACGATACCCAACATGCCCAGTTTACAAATTGCGTGCGTCCGTGAAACGGCGAAAAACTGCAGTACCTCAAAAAGTCCACAGAAGAACAACCCCCCCTCCCATTTAAGTACTTAGCTTAAATGTCGATCATCTTCTTTCCAGTAATTTTCAGTCAGTGCCGGTCTCTCTGACTGCGCTGACTTCTGTGTCCCACGGAGTCTCAGCGTGCATGCTCCTGGCTGTGTGCATTGACTTACACTGTGTCTCTCCTCTTCTCCCGGCCGAAGATCTCTACTGCGCACGCGCCCGCCACATAAATCTTCAGATCTTTGGAGGGGAGCGAGCTGCGGAGACACAGGTAAGTAATTTTACCCATTTGGTAACTTTTTATTTTTTTAATGTTTTTGCATAAATCTTTTGCTTGCTAGCAGTAGATATCTACTTTAACATTCATACAGTTTTTCAAACTGGTAGATTATTGAATTGCATTTACAAACCGTATTCAAGACATTTTTTTTCAATTTTGTTTTTTGCATACAAAAACGGATTAAATATGAGTGTAAAAGGGAACACATGGATACAAAGGCACGTTCTGTATCTTTTGTTCGAGGTTGATGACTGTACAGAAACAAATATGTTCTTTCATTTTGACAGTTTATGTATATGTGTGTTTACCTATGCACTTCTGAAGGGAATTATTCTTAACTACCTTGTGACATACATTTGCTGCCTTATACACTGCTACTGGAGGATTTGGATCTGAATGGACTTCAGGGTTTACGTAACCAAGATTTTTAGGTACTCTCGGGTGGTGCTATTTGGTACAGCAAGTGTTTGCTTTTAGGATACAGACGTTATACGCTTGCCTGGTGTTCAGAGATGCTGATTATGTACAACTTTATAATTAACAAAATATGGGCATATGTTGCTCAAGTGAGAGTGTGACTGCATCTGATTTTTGTTAATGTTATTTTTGGTGACACATTCCTCCTCGTATTAAGTTATATATGTGAAGGTACGAATTAATAAAGGAGGTATTTGGTAAAATTAACTAGTACAGTCCGAGGAATGTGTGTCGCACCAAGTAGAGCGTAAATGGAGAACCAAAACATTTACAACAAGGTAATAGAGGAGAGGAAAGGGGCAATTGAGGTTCTATAAATGGCAAATAACAGGAGAGGAATTTTGTTTCTGGTAGTTACAGAAGCGTAAATAGGGACAGTAGGCCCTTCAACACTAGTGGGGAGTAAAAGTGTACATCATATGTATGACATTGGGTAGTAAGGCTATTTCTCTTCTGACAAGCTGTTGAGCTCCACTGTGTAATAAAATACAATTTAGTATGTTTAGGATGATGAGTTGTTTGGCCTTCTGGCTAGATACATTTAGACATCATGAATAATAACATGTTTTGTTTGCAGGGAATAAATCGCAAGACAGCGGCATCGCAGAGATGGAGGAGCTGCCTGTCCCTCACAACATCAAGATAAGCAACATCACATGTGACTCCTTCAAGATATCATGGGATATGGATTCTAAGTCCAAGGAAAGGATTACACATTACTTTATTGACCTGAATAAGAAGGAGAACAAGAATTCCAATAAGTTTAAACATAAGGTAACCTATCGCATTCCTTTACTATTCCACATACAATATTAGATGTTGGTGGGTTACTGCCAGAATGCCATGATAATTATAAGAAGTCAGTGGGAGAATTAACCTGCCAGTATCTTTTTATTATTCAATGTAAATATTTTTACATGTGTCATCATCATAGTGAATGTGTTCATTACATGCTTGATTTGCATTTTCACACCTGTTTGACTAGGCAAAATAAAAACAAACATATACCCCTTTAAAAATGCTGCAAGTAGAGAAAAATACATATGCAGGAATGCAGAACTTCCCCTCTCCTCAGCGCTATAATGTAAGCGGAAGAACTGGGAGAGGAAGTTAGCGGCTCACTAGATTTCTGACAGAACCAACAATTTGTATGTACTTCTGTAGCATATTTAAAGAGACAAAACATGGGATGAGATGTATTTCTACTTTTTTTTTGCCCAAAAATACACTTTTAACACACCTTTGTGGTGACCGCTAGCTGTCTGCTCCTGTAAAGTAACCATTAAACTGTGTACAGCTGGAGTTGGCACTATAGTAATCAAGAGAATTGGCTGCTATATATTATCACAGTCGGGACTCTGGCATTTTCTCATGTGCCTACTTCTGTTTTTTCTGTCTGTCTCAACTGAATTAACAAATAAGGGGAACATGGAGGATTATACTAGGACTTCATTGGAAGGGGCCAGCCTTGCATATCATTTAGGCAGTCTGTGACTTTCAGGCTGATTTTTTACCTTTGTATTTTCATGCATATCCATTTATATTTACATCAATGGAAACATGTCAGTGTACATCAGTAGGACTAAATCTGCCTCGAAACACGTCAACGTGTACAAAGGTTTTCATGCATTTCTATTGATTTTAATGGTAAACACATGTGCCTAAAAATGGAGAAGGGGGAATGCAGCCACAGTCTGGCAATTCTGGCATTTATCAGGGCAGCATTTGTGTCTAAGCATGTTTTGAAGGTTGGTGTGCTCTTCTGTGGGCTTCACAGCCTGTCTGTACAATCTGCCTTTGGCAGTAGTGCCAACACAAATATTAGTGCTCCATCTGACTCTGCATACTTCAGTCACGTACACAAACATGGATGGATGAAGTATATGCCAAGGCTGTCAGCACTGATATACAATTTATGATGCTGTAGACAGATTGAAGAGCAATATGAACCTTACTGTTTAGTCGTTCCATAAATCTAACATTTAACTAGGGTTCCAGCTACAAGGTAGACATTGTTCCGGGATCACAAAAAGGTTTTCCTGATTTCAGCAGCGTCATGTGAGGATTGTAATGTCTTTGGGCACATTACTACTGTAGTAGACACCCATGGATGATGGATTGAATTTAAATATAATCATGCCAGGTTGTTTTCTCATCCAGCCTATTGTTCCTGCAAGGTATATCTAATACTGGGGTGCCTGCTGCATTAATAGATCTTCATGGTTAGTCAATATGGTGATGAAAATTAAATGAAGCCTACATATAATGTACATTTATGAACTAAATTATTTTAGCACCTTGGTGCAAGGAACAGTAATGTGTAGTAAGTTGGATGTGACTAAGCTTCTACAATTGATTGCGCTGTAGTTACTAAATAAAGCTAATATAAATTCTTGCTTAGGTGGAGTCACAACATCTGTGAGATTCATGTAAATCTTAGAGGGTGTTGCTGAATTTACAACTTGCTCTTATGGCAGCCAGTCTAAGTCCACAAATGCAAATGATGACTATAAATGTCAAACAAGGACTGAGTCAATGAAGCTCAGACATCTCATGTTAGCACGTCACCACTGTGTTTATGCGTTCACACAGATATTAAAATATGTCAAAGGGAATTTCAGATTCTGAACAACAGACTTTCCCCTGGCCCCAGGGATTGGCAGTCTGATCTCTGGGAGAACAATTATATAGTAAGTTAGACAAATTGAATTATTCCAAGGCTGTGTTGACATGTTTGGGTGTGTGGACCTATTTGTGCGGAAGGCAATCTCTTGATGTAGGTGACGTCATGTGCACCTTGCCATTGTTTGGCATGACACCCATAATTGCAGTGATTTGTGCTTGTAAATCAAGTGTGATTATTTCTTCACTTACTTGCAGTGCAGCTGCTATGCAAGTCCATTCAAGTCCATAACTATCTAAGAATGACTTATTGTTTCCTGCTTTGTTTGGTTTTTTATTCCAATAAACGTCTAACTTATTTGCACAATAATTTTATACAGCACCAGATACAAATGTATGATATAAAGAAGAATTTGTCAGAACAATACAAAGATCTGTCTCGGGTATATTACGTATAGAGAAGCAGAAAATTAACTGTAATTGTTTACTAATGTGTACAGATCTGTTTATGACAATTTTCTAATAGCCAGATGTGATGCAAACCAGTATAAATGACAGAATCCTAGTTAGATATCAAATAATGATCTTGTGTTGTATTTTTTGTCTCCTTTTTATGTTAGTTTCCATTGTTCCTTGCACAGTTGAATAGTGTATGAGTTATTTGCTTGTCCTGAGGGTAAAAGACCAGCAGTGCACTCATTTTCTGACATTTGATCAATATTTCATGTCTTGGTGTAGCTATTGGAGATGCCATACATTCTTCTTCGCAGAGCTACAAGTGACATGTAAATTTCACTAAAGGCTCCAATTATATGGGCTGTCGCTCTGCAGTTTTGCATTTGCACAACTAAATATCCTCTGCAGCTGACCACAGGTTACCATGAACAAGCACTGAAAACTGGGTCCATTGATTTCCTTACTGACTGTGCTACATGATTATTGGCTGAACTCCCTAACCTGTAATGATCATTATTTTCAGCCCTGTGATTGGAATTTGTAGCTCTCATTGGTCATCATTGCTGAAGATATTGTTCTTTATAGCAGATGATAATGATTGTTCTAGGTTAATGGTCCTGGAGCAGTCTGAGTAATCACGCATGATCACCTTAGTGTTTGCAAATGTGATCATAGACTGTAGCGACATCAATCATCAAATGATCATCACCGAAGTCAGCAGATGCAGATTTTAGTTAGTCGCAGATCCCCTGGTGCATGCCTATAGAGATTTACCAAATTTCTGTAGTGAAAGGGAAGGAAATGTAACTGAAGTAAGCCTCATGAATCATGCCCCTACATTTCTGCTACAGGATTTCCACACAAATGTCCATGAGAGTCCACATAAGGCAAAAAAAGAATTTAAAAAAGTAGCTAAAGTTTTGGTGCTGCCCTCTTGTTGCCTAGACTGTAGCCTACCAGCACCTTGTGTCCCGGGGGATTTGCTGTAGTGCTTCCAATACCCTGCTGTCTACATACTGTACACAGCATTGGAACGTAAATGAAGCCTGTTTCAGATTTCCTGGCAAGGACTTTTCGTCACAACAAATAATTATAGAAATAACCTTGTTTTCCTAGCGGTATTATTTTGTTGCAGCTGCCAATTTCCTAGCAGTTATGTTTTTCTTAATAAAAACAACATACTCCGTTTGTAGCCAGCAGTACAGTAATTAAAAGGAATGGCATTATTAAAACAAAATGAAATGATGGCCTTCAAAACCAATTCCAATATTTTATTGTGGCTTTGAAAATGAATAGAGTGCGACTTGCTTGTTTATACAGATAGCTCTACAAGGTGAAAAGAGGTATGTTTTGTTAAGTGCCTGTTATAGGCTATATGTTCAGAAGTAGTAATGCACAATATATAATGTAAGCAATAATGTAAGCTGTGGAAAATAGTTTAGTACCACTGCTCTTAGAAATGGTGTTGCCTTTACTATATCAATAGATCCAGAATGTTTTGGGATAAAAAATTCAGAGGCTTTCTGACACTGGAAGCACCATTTCCTTTCCTAGCTTTGCTTTGTATCATCAACATATGCTTAGTCTTTATTGGACTTTTTCAGGTGAATAGGTATTTCCACTTTGCAACCAAATTGGGATAACACCTATTTTATATATGTTATGTTCTCATTAAAATTGAATAACTTAAAAAAAAAAAAATTGCTCACATTTTTAAATGCTTTATACGTGTTTAAAAAATCCTGCCTACCTAGCAAAGGGTTAACAACTTAGAAGCACTCTAGGTCAATGAGAAGAAGCTCAGTCTGTCCTTTTTTGTACTCCTGCTCTGTCCTAGGCCGATACGGTGCAGTCAGTGAACATTGTCAACCTAGTACAGGAAGTGTGTTCGCAGGATCACCAAGTGAAAAAAAAAAGAAAGCCTGGAAAAAAAGAAAACTAATGCCGCCACCACTGATATGGGGGACGTTCAGGACTGTCCATATAACAGAGGTTTGCACATTATTAATAGTTCACACATGGAAAGACGGATCACATTCAAACATGGATTGTTCAGGCACTATTTACTTGCAGGACGGGGAGGAGATTGTAGCATCAGCTGGAGCATGTCACCCTTTTAGCACCCTCCTGCCTCAGTATACACAGGCTCTTACCTGCATGTTACTGTGACAGGTCATGTCCCAGTCTACATTTAGAGGCAGCAGCCAGCAGAGGGCACTCCAGTCACAATCCAATTCTGTATAATAATGGCACAAATTACTATTGGTGGGTGCCTGCTGCTACTGATTGAAAACATTAAAACACTGTGTACAGGGCAGCTGTTCCTACAGTCCCAGCCCTGTTTCCCAGTACCCCAACGTAGTGTTGAGATATACACGGCAGGTCACAAACAAATGGAAGCTACCAACTAATCTGCCGTAGTCTGGACAAGGGAGAGCCCGGCTGGACCAGATGATATCAGTATATGACATCATCAAGAACCCTGGACACAGCCAGGAGTCGGGAGCAGACATTACAGGGACCCAATCACTGAAATGTTGCTAGGTGGATTACCCCGCAGCTGCCAAAGCCAGGGATGCCATTATTAAAGCTGGAAACAAATTGGGGACCCTTTTTTCTGGGCCTCATAAAACCAAGGGTGTCTAGACACCCTTACATAAACCTTCCAGTTCTGAAAAGCAAAATATAGGAAAATGTTATAGCTTTCCTTTACATTGGTGGATCAGATCATTCAGAAAACAGTGATGAGACCTTCAGACAATGCCTTCTTCACCAACAAGCACGTTCACTAATCCATTTTATATTTGGGGCAGCACAGTATGGCACCATGTTTTTAATACCAGAAGCTGAAAAACAAATTGGTTATCTCCAAGGAATTCAAGTCTCCCAAAAGCCACTGATGGAATTGATTCTCCCGTTTAATTGGTCCTGACTACAACTCGTAGCATGCTATTCTGAGATGTAGGTGCTATTAATGCAGTCCTTCCCTGCTATTATTTATAAGGAATAGATCCAAATAGAAACTGATGCCATGGAGAGAATTATAGTAGTTTGCCTGGAGAAATAATTCTCAGCTTCTCTTGCTGTACATAATTTGATTAGTTCCTGTATGTTTTGTGTACAGTAATAGCGGCAGTTTCACACTACCCTCCAGGTAGATGCTGCGAGTGTTCCATCTCCCTGGCCATACATTGGTAAAAATAAGACCGTGGTTAAATCCTCAGAGAAGATAATAATGTTGTACCATAGCAAAATATCAATGCAGACAGATTTTAAAAAGATTCCCTCTGGCTATAGTTTTAAATATACATGTTGGACAAATGCTGCAGACCCAACAGAATTAAACTGCTACATAAAAAGTTTCAGAGAGGGATTAAAAACTGTGCCGTCCCTTCTACCAAGAGGGGCAAGGTGCCCTTTCACTGCCGGTTCAATCTACCACTGAACTGCTAACATATGGTCTGACCATCTGAGAGGCTCTGCATGAGTTGAAGTGGTACACACTGCAGAGTTAGGAACATAGCTGTATTTAACACTCTATATCTGGACTTTGTCCTGAACCATAAGCCTCCATGCCTATTTGGAATTGCAACATTTGTTGACATAACGAACAATTCTGTGGTGTTTGTATGTCATTTATAAAGATGTCCCACTTAAAAAAAAAAATGTGTGGACAAGGCAGTTGTGCCCTGTCTGTCAGGTTGTGTGTTTTACTGTAAGGCCTCGCCTCACACGGGAGGCAAGAGGTTAGTAAAACCACGTGGTTCCTGTGTGGTTTCACTGCCCCCCAGCCACCCACTGCAATGGTAGCACTACAGCAGAACAGTGTTGTATACTTTGCCGCAGCCACAAAAGATATATAGCATGTTGCACTTGCAGGCGGTGCCACTTGTCAGAGATGACAATTATAATGAATGGGTGCCACATCTATGTGGGTATGCAGTTGTGGCGCACTATTGTAAGAGAAAATCCCCACTGGGGTTAAAAAAATAAAATCCTGCATTCAGGAGGTGGCAGTTTTGCCTCCTGAATGCCAGGCAGTCGCTGCTCCACCACCCTCTGAAAAGCGATCCACTGCAGATCGCTTTCCAGAGGGTAGTGAAAACTGCAGCCTGTGTGAACGAGGCTTTGGGACCCCAATAGACAATGAATTGTAAGACAATGTCTATGTTCCTCTGACAGATAGTGTCATATGTTTCCATCTCATGTAAGTTAGGGAGAATGGTATCTGGAAAGTTTGGGAAATCTGAGTATAATCTGATTGGTATCTGAAGCGTGCTTGCCTGCCCCTTACTACAGTCTAAATATAAACTGTAACATAATGCAACCATTTGTGTTTAGGTAAGAACTGATAATTGCTGATGCCTGGGATCAGGTAAATCATGCCTGCAAGCCAGAGTGCCCCTGGATGTCTTTGGCGGCCTTTTTGCTGGCATAGGCACCTTTAGCATTCCTGACCATAAAGCTATACACCATTTTACATTACAAACTGAGAATCTTCAGGCACTCCTGCTGTGGTGAAACTGCAAATCCATCATGCCTTTATTGCTGGCGCAGAACTCTATGATATAGTAAAAACTGATCTACTATTTTGAGAAATGCTTAGTCAGAAAATTAAAAATGGTCAAGAGTATGTAACGTACAGTGGGAAACAATTAGGAGAATGTAAATATTATTATTATTAGGGATGCACCGATACTAATAATAACTTACCTCCCGGCTTCCTGATTGGCCATGAAGCCGGCTCCATGCTGATTGGCTGGGAAGCTGGTTTCCCAGCCAAACGGCATTGAGCCGGCCAAACAGCATGGCGCCAGTTTCCCAGCCAATCAGGAAGCCGGGTGATGGGTAATGACCCGCCTCCCGGCTCCCTGATTGGCCATGAAGTCAGCTTCCTGGCCAATCAGCATGGAGCTGGCTAACCGGGCAATCAAGAAGCTGGGCAACTGGTAATGACATGCCGCCCGGCTTCATGATTGCCTGGGAAGCCGGCTCCCTGCTAGCAGGAAAATAAATATTGGTACTCATACTCGATACCGAAAAACTAGTATTGGTGCATCCCTTATTATAAATAACAATAATAATAATATTATTATACAGGATTTATATAGCGCCATCAGTTTGTGCAGCGCTTTACAATACAAGGAAGTATAATACAATTCAAGACAAGATGGTAAGGAGAGCACTGCCCATGAGGGCTTACAATCTAAAAGGGAGGGAGAAGTGATACATCAGGAGGTAGCTGTGTGGGAAGGAATTGTTTGAGAACATGATAGTTCAGTGGTTAGTTTGAGGGTGGGATGGGCTTCCCTGAAGAGATGTCTGTAGGGATCACCTAAAGGCAGTCAGAGTAGGAGATAGACGTACAGGTTGGGGTAAGGGGTAAGGAGTTTCAGAGGATGGGAGAGACTCTAGAGAACTCCTGGAGGTGAGCATGGGAGGAGTTGATGAGGGTGCTAAAAAGCAGGAGGTCTTTGGAAGAGCGGATGGGACGGTTAGGGTGATACTTTGAGATATAGCCAGGGGCAGCGTTGTGGATAACTTTGTAAGTGGTTGTTAATATTTTGAATTTTATTCTATGAGCGATTGGAAGCCAGTGGAAGTATTGGGGGGGTTGCAGACACTAAGCAGTTGGTTAGGTGGATAAGTCTAGCAGCATTCATGATAGATGGAAGGGGGGATAGTCTGTGTAGAGGTAAGCCAATGAGGAGGGAGTGGATGAGTAGCTTTGCGGTTTCATTGGTGAGGAGGGGGCATGTTACGAAGGTGAAAGCAGCAGGATTTTGATAGTGATTGGATGTGGGGCAGAAAGGTTAAGTCTGAGTCAACGATGACACCTAGCACCTTGGCATGGGGGGGAGGGATGGATAGTTCTGTTATCAATCTCAAGGGAGAAGTTGGGGGAAGGTGCACAGGCGGGAGGAAATATGAGCTAATTTTTTGAAAGATTGAGTTTTAAGAAGTGTTGTTACCGTGTTTCCCCGAAAATAAGACACTGTCTTATATTTTTTTTGCCCCCAAAAACTACACTAGGTCTTATTTTCAGGGGATGTCTTTTTTTTTTTTTTAATGTGCAACAAAATGTACAACAATCTAAAGTTATTCATGTACAACAATCCAAAGTTATCTGGTATCACTCCGCCTGTCACAGTAATTGGCGCTCTAGAGGAAGTATCAGCTAATGCGGCTCTGCTCCCTCCGCCGCCGCCGCAGCCTTGGTTTCAACAGCACCGGCTTCTTTTGCCACCAGGGACAGTGGTACCAGCGGTGCAGCAGTGGGGACATCAGACAGTGGACAGAGCGGTAAAGTGCCTTCAGGGGGACAGCAGTGAAGTATGGTACTGGAGTGCTCCCTGTCACTGCGCTGGCCGGAGGGAGTTCCCTGTCATCCCCTTAATACAGTATGTCCCTGCAGGCTGATACCATCTCTCCTGCAAGTTCCCCCTCACATGCTACCACTAAACTAGGTCTTATTTTCGGGGTAGGTCTTATATTACAGGAATCTTGAAAAATAGTGCTAGGTCTTACTTTCGGGGTAGGCCTTATTTTTGGGGAAACAGGGTACATCCAGACTGATATGTCGGTTAGTAAAGCAAGGACACTGAGGGGGTGAGTTGTGGAGTAGAAAGATTTATTTGAGTGTCATCGGCATAGAGATGATATTGGAAGCCATGTAAGGTTATCAACTGATCAAGGTGTAGATAGAGAAGAGAATGGGTCCAAGGAGACCCCTAGAGGGAGGGTAGGAGAGGAGTTAGATTTGTAGGTGACACTGAAGAAGCGCTCAGATAGGTAGAAGGAGATCCATGAGAGAGCAGAGTCTTGTAGGCCAAGCGAGTGGAGTTTCTTTGAGGAGCTGCAGGTAGTCAACAGTGTCAAAAGCAGCATAAAGATCTAATAGCAAGAGTAAGGAGTAGTGCCATTGTTCTTAGCAGTTAGTAAATCATTGTTAAATTTTAGGAAGGTGTTTTCAGTAGAGTGTTGGGGGCGAAAACTGGACTGTAAGGGGTCGAGGAGATTGTTATCAGTGAGGTGACGGCACAGGTGGTTGTAGATAAGGGGATCGATTTCAGATTGTTAAGGTTGATAGGGTCCATTGAGGTTTTTTGGGGTATTGAGGTGACTAGCGCATGAGGGGAGGGAAAGATGCATTTCCACTCCACCTCCTTTCCATCCACTGGGTCTGGGTGAGTGTGTACAGTGGAGGCCACCATGGGAGAGGGCAGCAGGGGAGGCAGAGTTGGATTCCTGAAGTCAGGTTTCAGTAACAGCAAGCATGTTAAAGGAATTGGAGAGCAGGAGGTGATGAGTGCCCAAGTAGGGAGAAGGCAGGAGAGAGGGTGAAATATATAATCTGTCGGGTGGAGAGGGGAGGTAAAGGAAATAGAGTTTAAAAAGAGAAGACACAATTGTGAGAAGCAATGGTAGAGAACACATGTTAAGGGAGGAGAGTAGAAATCAGATTTGAAACGGAGAGATGTGGATGGGGTAAACGGGATTACCTGCAGAGTAGAGAGTATAGGAGCCAGGAGCACTTATCATACAGCCTAGTACAGTGGTCAGCACTATTCAACAATTAGGAAAGCCTACAGGGTGCAGCAGTTATAAGAATGTAACCTACAGCACAGAGTATGGTGGTCACGGGTATCTGGCATACAGTATCATGTACAGAGTACGGTGGTCAGGGGTGCATAACATACAACCAGCCAACCCATAAGTTTAAAAAAATCCCCTTGACCCCCAACAAAAACTCCTCCCTCTCTGTTCTCACAAACAGAAATTTTCATTTTCTTCCTTCCTCCCTCCTCTCCCAATAAAGTTCCTCTCTTTTAACTGGATGCCAAAATTCTGCATTCTTTACATTCTTCTCTGCTTCTTGTGCTCCTCTTTGATATTTTGTTCCTGCAACCTCACAAGTCCCAGTGCATTATACAGTGTGCTCTGTGTGCTACAGACTGCACGCACAATGATTTACATTTCTCTTAAAACTGTCTTTCAAGGGAAAATAAAAATCATATTTCACACAGATTACCAAACAAATCTGATTGTTGATGAGATGGAATCTGCTTAATTTAAAACATCTGTGCAGGGTGCATTTTGGATTAAACAGACTTATTCTGAATGCCGAGCTCTCTAATCAACAGAGGCTATTACTGAGTACAGAGTATGCTCTGCATTATTCCCAGTTTAAATTGTCTTTGGAATATCATTCAGCGTTATTTCTAAAAGTTTAATTATAAAATCAAACTAGCCTTTTTACACATTTTGATTCCGGATTCACTTATATTTCACAAAATGGAATGAACAGACATTATCATCACTCTGCAGTCTGCTGGCATCCATGCTTTTAGCAGGGTTTTGCTATTTTTTGTTTACTTTTGGTTCTATATATTGATAAAGGTTTTTTGTTAGGTAAGAACATATGGCCAGGAATAAAAGTAGTATATTTATTGTTGTTTTAAAAAGGTTGGTTGTAAGTAGGTTCCCTGCCACTACTATAGTACTGTATCTATCTAGTGGGACCCTGATCATAGGCTGCAAGTACAAAAAGTAAATGCATTCAAATCTAGTCAGAGATGTGGATGTTATCTCTTTAATGACTTACACACCTTCATTTACTGGTCATGCCCAGCTATTCATACTGCCAAAGAGATGCATCTGATAAGCTGATGTAATGAACCTATAACCATGGGATGCTCACAGTGTTTAAAGATCTCTGACTTTGCAGTATGTGCACTCTTTGTGTTTAGGCTATTTCCATTCTGTACGAATATGAGTTGAACACTTTTCATGCTTAGAAGCTCCACTGCTTTTCATTAAGACAAGGTTCTATCAATAGGGAACAATTCACAGACATTACAATATGCAGATCTGTTTCCCAGGGATAAGAAAGGTATAAACTGGTTGACATTATAGTAGTAAGGGTTTAGTGATTATATAGCAGCTCTGAATTATCCCCAACACTCAACGCTCAGATTCCGCAGTCAGATCCATATTAAGAGGAAACTCCAGGCTCACTCCCACCTGTTCTGGGGAGCTTTGGAAGGTGTATGCTGTATCATGGATTAAAATAAAATGTGGATTTATTTGGAGGAAGCCTTGAGTGCGACTCGTCTTGGGGTAAAAATGTATTGCAGCTCTGGTTTGTAATATAGCTGATAGAGCATTTTTTATCATTTGCTTTGCTAAAATTACAGACATCTGAAATGTTCCTTACCTTGGAAAATGTTTATTATGGCAAAACACATCCTAATCTCCCTTTTATATGTCTGCTGTGCTTGGGAATCTTTAAATAAACCTATATGGAAGGCCATTCATTTATTGATCAACCCAAAACGTGCATGCAAGCCAGGATGTC